TCGATGATGATGAAGAAACACCCAGTACACCAAAAGCAGATGCCGTTTTCATTCCCAGGGAAAACCCTAGAGCTTTGGTGATTCGTCCAGTGGAACAGCGGCAACCTAGGATGAGTGTTGAGAAAAACACCCAGTACACATCTAGTGCCACTCATGAGAATGGTAAACTTGGTTGTTAATTGCATTTGTATTCCTATTGAATTGTGTTTGTTCGGCATAATTTTTCCCCAATAAAGCACACGTGTACATCTCTTGTTTCCTCCCAATTAACATTGTTGTATCTGGAGTCATCCTTTCATGTGTTTTGAGTCTTGTATGCATAGACTTGATTGTTGAAGAAACATGAATGCATAAACGGGATATGGGAAGTGTCTTCTTGGTTGGTGTACCTGATTTTGTTGTATTCCAGATGATAAATTTAAGGCTCGAGTTATTGGATCCAGTCAAATAGTTCAAGGTGAATTTGATACAATTGACGGTACAATGGATGCAGCTAACACAAGGTTTATAAATTTAGGGGCTAATTGTATTTTTTTTGGGGTGTGAGTGTGATGCGATCCTTGCTAACTTATTCAAGACTTTATAGGTTGACATAACAATAATTTGTTCTAGAATTAATTCAGATTCTATTTATGTTTGCTATATGATGAATTTGTTATGAATATTTGTAATGACAAAGATTTTGATTATCCCCAAAAATTCCAGTATTAGATGATGACCTTAAAGTATGGTTAGGTATGAGAGAGAATATATACAGAAGAAATGATTTCCCTTTCTCAGTTTGGCTTGCTTAATCAAGCTTTATTTGGTTTTATCCTTTCATTAATTGTTTTGATAGTAGTGGTTTCCATCTTTTACTACCAAAAGTTACATATATGTGATTCAATGCCATGATCAAGTGTATATCTGATTCAATGCCATGACAAAGTTTAGAGCCTTTCTTTTTGGTTTAGATTGTTGATTGTGATTTAGGATATTGTTTCCAACCATATCTGTTCTAAATAGAATCTGGATTTCTTGTAGCTACTAGATGTCTTGAAAATTTAAACTAAGTGTTTTTGATTATGATTAAAGCAACAGGCCTTTCTGCAACATGCACACGTATATAGTTTTGATGAAGTGTTTCAGATTTGGGTTCATTTTCTGGTAACTGAATTTGTCCGGTTTTATGTCTCCAGGTAAACCTCCAGAATTTGGTTCTGCTCCTCCTGTAAATGGGTTTAGTGCTGAGGATACAGATAGTAAGTAGTTGATGTTTTAACTGTTGGCATGACCTTTTGTTACTTCTATACAAAATGTTATTTGTACTCTGGTATGTGTTACTGAATATGAATATTTATCAGTTTTGCATTTGGTGCATGTGTATTTCTTCATAGGTTATTTCTTGAGAAAAAGTTTTATAGAGATATTCTTGTTTAAGACGTAGAGCAAACTAAACCAAAATAAAGATCAAACTACTGATTTCAAGATTATATCTGCTTAACTGTTTGGTTTTTCTGAGTAGATAGCAGATACTAATTAGCAAAGGACGGAAATAGGGGGTCCCAAGTCTCTGAAATTTTTGTTTTTGCCCCTTCGAAATTTGAAAGATTTTAATTGTGTCATTTATAAATTAAACTTTTTTTCACAGCTTATGTCTGGGTTACCTTTGGTTGAATACAGTCTCAACCAACTTAACATTCTTGAGGACTTTATTGTTGGAAGGTTAACAAGGATGGTCCTTTTAATCTTAATTCACTGCGTGTTTACAGGGATTATTGCCCGTTTTATCACTTTGTAGTTATGTTAGTGCCTCAACTCATTGAATCAATGCAAATCACTTTGGACTTCAGTCTCCAAATAATTTAGCATATGTACTAATAATAGTGTTTGAATCTGTTGAATTGACACCATAGATATTTAGACGTTTAGATTACTTCCGGAAGAAAGTAAAACTTCAATCTTAGTCTTTCATGTGTAATATTTGCTGATGTGGTCTTACTGTAACACCCCCCTCCCCCAAAAACCCCGGTTTGGGGGTGGGACAATGCAGAATTTTCAGTTGAAAATGGCTTCAAGGATCAAGTTCATCCTGTCAAACAGAACCAGAAGCCTAATGGGGTTTCTGATGAGCATTCACGCAAAAGGGAGATTTGTACAGTATCACTCTTACTGGCCACCGAGCTGGTGAAGCAGCTGTTGCTTACGAGTATGGTGCTGAAATTGAGGCGCTGATGCCAAAACTTCGTCATGCTGATTATTATACAGAGCCCAAAATCCAGGAGCTGGCAGCCAAAGAAAGGGTTGAAGCAGGATACTGCCGGCGGGTGGAGAATTTTGTGGTTGGAAGACACGGCTATGGCAGCATCAAGTTCATTGGGGAGACAGATGTTCGCCGACTTGATCTAGAATCTTTGGTCCAATTTAATAACCGAGAGGTGATAGTATACATGGATGAGAGCAAGAAACCTCCTGTTGGACAAGGTCTTAATAAGCCTGCAGAAGTGACACTCCTGAATATAAAATGCTTTGACAAGAAGACGGACAGCATTATACAGAGGGTCCAAGAATTGAGAAGTATAAGGAGATGCTTAAAAGGAAGGCAGAGGATCAAGGTGCTGAATTTGTTTCTTATGACCCAGTAAAAGGAGAATGGAAGTTCAGAGTCAAACATTTCAGTAGATACAGCCTCAGGGAAGATGTTGATGAGTCTTCATATCTTTCTACAAGATGCTGAAGTCTGGATGAAACATGAATGGGAGTAATTGTAATGCTGTCTTAGATTTTTTTTTTTGGGGTTTTTGTGCATGTATATAGGAATTTATACCAATTTTACGGCACCTTATTAGATATACTGCTGCTGCATTGCAGATTGTCGTTACCCTCTCGCTTTGTTGTTGTGGGCTCTTTTTGTTGTTTTTACCCTCCTTGGGGTTGTGGTATGTTTACAATCTGGGATTTGGCCTATAGGCTACAGTGGTTCATATCCTGTTTTGGTCTATTGGTTTTGAACAGTATGAAAGGTGAAACAACTCCAGGTTAAATGTGATCTTTCTAGGGCCTAGCTTTTTCCTGTGAAAGAAAGGATGTTCTATTTCCATTTTACTTTCATTCATTTTAAATTCTAGAAATTTGCTGCTGTGCGCTCTACGTTCTCTTTGCATGCATGAAACAAATCTCATTCCTTTTTCCTTGCCCAACTGGACTTTTTCTCCCATTGGAACTTTGCAGACGGTCATCATTTAATGTAAGTGCGGCTGCAGTTCGTGTTATGAGTTCCGTACTCATTGAGAAGTGATCGTCACATAGCTGCTGACATTTACGTCCCATTCAAATTCAAGAGAACCGCAGCGTTACATTGGACTGCGCATTAGAGCTATTGTCGCCTGGTGTTTGAATAAGGTGACAATTAAGTCTTTGAATAACATGTATGCAAGGAAAGGAAAAGTATTTATCTCCTATATTCATCTTTGGTTTGCATGAAACTTGATGGTTGAGTTTCCTGCAGAAAACAATGTTCCTACTTTGTCCAGCAGGATTTTATAGGAAATTTCTTCTAACCTTACATGATTTTGACATCTTCCAATTATTTATCCATACATTTGTGATTGCTGCTGGAAGCAAAAACAACTTTCATTCATGCACTATAGTTTTAACGCGACAGAAGAAGGGATTTAAAAAGAACAATTTCAGAAACTAATTCCATAAGAAAAATTCAAGGGTCGATACGCAATCAAATATTTAAAATGACAAGATTCAAATCTCAATCTAAGGAAGATTTTACAAGAATCTAAAATCGAGGGCACACCCAAAGGACATAGCAAATCCAACAACTCAAATAGTTAATTTGATTTATTGGTTAAAAGAGATTGATTGATTTACAATAGTTCTAACTACGTCTATTTATTGGCACACAACAAGAAATACTTAGACTGAAAAGCTACTTAACTATAAGAAATTTTCAAAATATCTAAATAGAAAGGGAATGAAAATAAAGAGGAATTGTGTAGATCTACGGAGCGGATCCAAAATATACCTCTCAATACCCGATTTGCGACCAGATCTATGGGTGTGGCGTTTTTATCTGTGCGTGAATTATTTTCTACGAGATGTAAAAATCTTGTCTCACATCAATCCCCTCCACTTTGAAAGAACTTGACCTTGAGTTCGAAAGAAAATTTGCATACCACAAACAACTATACAGGCAATAATTCTTCCACGAAATTTAAAGAGTCGTACTTGTGCACGAGCCTTTTTACTTGATCATGAACAATCCTCCCTGGAATTTTATAGGGCCCATGCTTGCATATGAACCTCCGCATCTAGTTACGAACACATGAAGTTGTATATGATCTTGGGAAAATCTCAAATTCAACTACTTCACCATCCAACATAGTTACAACAAATTTAACTATGCACACCGGGTGATACAAAATTCAACTTTATTGATTTTCGTAGGAAAGGCTCAGATTTTGCTACAACACTTGGTGTTATAGTCTTACGGATTTGATGGCTACTTTGGTTGTTTTGCATGCTCCTTTCATACTATAAGAGCATCAAGGGACGGCACGCACAATAGGCTTGTCAGGAGCGAATTTCCTAACCACATACATATCCCGTACTTGTCGTCTATAGCTGCGTCTAGCCACTGCATATGCATATGTATCTTGAACACATGACCTACTTTTAGCGAATCCAAGTGCTGCAAGATCATCTTAGCTTTCTATATCATGCCATGGAAAACAGCTGATGATCGTTGGGAGCATCGATGCGATCTAGGAATGTCGATGCAATCTAAGGTAGCATTCATGTGATCAAAGCTATTGTGATGTGTATCAGCGGTAATACCAATTGACGCGGTAGTGGAAGCAATTTAAAAGGAACAGCTTCAATGTTTCATAAACTAATTTCATAAGAAAGAACCAAGGATTGATACTCGATCAAACCTCCAAAATAACAAGATTGAAATCAAAATCTAAGCAAGATTAAACAAGAATCTAAATTTTAGACTACACCCCAAGGACATGGCAAAGCCAACAACTCAAAGAGTTAATTTAATTTATATGCCCAAGAGAATGGTTGATTTACAATAGCCCTAACTAAGTCTATTTATAGGCACACAAGAAAATAAAAAAACTCTTAAAACAACTAAATAGAAAAGGAAACAAAAATAAAGAGGGAAACTGCTACAATGACATCTATCTGCCACTAAAAGGATATGCTTGTAGATCCCAAATGTCCCTCTTAGCATCCAATCTGATTCGCAACCAGATCAGCCATGGTTCAAAAACTCGGCCAAGTCGTCACCGAAACGGAGTTATTCAATATGATATCGGGACAAGATGATTCTGAGATAATAGATCGCCGAAAACTCGGTTGAGACATCTCCAAGACAGATAGAAACGTAGGAGTGGGCACGGGTCAAGTACCCATCCCTAACATGATTTGGCTGACCTGACCCTAATATATCGGATCAGCCATTTTGCAACTCTAATCCGCTCCTAATATCTTTGGGGTACCCGAAAAAAAAAGGGCGGATCATAGGTACCCGTCCCTAAAAAAAACTATTTTTCAATTAAAAAAATTACTTTCCACTTAATATCAATGTGTTTTCCAATAACAAAAACCTGCTTTCCAATTAATATTGGTAGAGATATTATAGTCAAAGTGCATACATCATCATTCTCACACATTTCATCCAATTATCAAATCGATTTTATAAATTTAGTACATATAAGAATTATAATATCTAATAGACAAAATGAAATTTCATGATAATTTTGAGTACATCACCATTCTCACACATTTCATCCTTTTACAACATAACAAACATAAAGATAATAAGTATTTGACAACTTTCCCAACTTCCTTAAGGATATTTTAGTACAAGACTGCATCACAAATGAGTTGACTGTGGAATCAAGTTCGGAAAAGAATTGAATAGAGTTGATAATTTTTGGAGAAAGTATAATCAAAATAAGCTTGAAAAATCTTCCCCAACTCTCTTACATCTTTGGAATAGACCTTATAGCATTAAAGGTGATGAAAAGAAAAATAAATTTCTTTCACTAAAATAAAAGAGACAAATTTAAGAGACATAATTGCAATAAAATAAATCAAATAAATAAATAAATGAAAGACACAAATGTTTTAAATATCTAGCTAATAGAACATTTGAGCTCCAAACACAAATCTTTGATTGAATTGATCAAAGATTTGTAGGAAAGATCGATGGAGGTAGAATAAAAATGAAAATGATGAAAGGGATAAACAAATTTTATGATCGAGTTTCACAAATTTTGCTTCGTTTTGTTCATTTGGTTTAGGCTTCGTCAAGAATATTCGCTTTCTTTCTTCAAACAAGACGAGGAGAGGCAGATCATATGGAATTAGAATATGAGACTGTGAGCCACTTCAATTACACTTAGGATTAAAAATTAAAAAATTATAAAATGACTCCTAATTTTTTAATATTTATATAATATACCCTGCGATCGGATACCGCAAGTTTTTATTTTCCTGATCCGTATCCGTATCCATTTTTGTGAGTATGCGACCTGCATCTGCCCCGCTAAGAAATATCGAATCGAATCGAATCAGGTTGGTCGGATTTAGGATCGGGTTGATAATGTGCTCCAACAAAGACAAATTCCTATTGCTCCACTGACGAAGAGTTCACTAGCCAAATACAAGTATTAAGTTACGCGAAGTGTTTCAGCCAGAAATCCACTTGTATAGTTGTATATACAGAACAAGTGGACGGAATTAAAAGTTCAGACACACAATCATAAATAAAACCCAAAATCTCCATCGAACTCTATACGTGGATACTCAATTGTTATTATGGTCAGGAAGGATATTGAGCATATCATGGTCCCAAAAACTAAGACAAATTTCTAACTTTGTGATGGATTTCAAAAAAATTCTGCAAAAGGGATGAATTTGGAATGGAATTCCGATCAGGTCTTTGCATTCAGAAAATGCGAGGTCATGAATGCGAGCTCACGTGTTAAGAAAAAAGGACTACCCACACATTATTCACTTTGGCTAATATATTAACCCAAAAGCTCTGTCCCCTTCTGATTTTATCCTTATCTTGGAGTATTCGAAGACTATATGTCTGTTTCTTTTGCTGTAAAACCATGATGAAAACTTACCTCTTTCGCCAAATGATGCCGGTAGCTTTCGGGCTCTGTTTTGCAGGTTTCGCTCAACACTCTCAGCTCCGTTTTCCAGCTTTCCGCCGACTTAGCTGTCTGACGACAGCTTTCGTGGCTGTAAGATGAAACAAAATTGCAGTCCTTCCCTCCAATTTGTATCTCCTCTTGATGGATGCTGCTGCTCCATAGATTAGAATGACGGCTTTGGGATGGAATTTGGGTTCAATTTGCAGTCCCCAATTCTGCTGGTTTCTTAAGGGTTTCTGAATAAATCGGCTCTGTTTCTTAACCACGCTCCGTTTTTTCTCTTTGACTGAAAGACTAAAGCACCTCAAATGCGAGGTACACTTAAAAAAAAGTCAAAAATGCAGTTTTGGTACCTAAACTTTAACGCAGGAGCGATTCTAGTCCCTAAATTTTGGACGAAAATAAATTTGGTACCCGAACTTTTAAATTTTGAGCACATTAAGTACCCTTGACGATTTTTTTCCAAATTATTATCGAAAAAGCCATATGATAGTCACGTGTCCGGCCACAATTATATGAAAAAAAGGCCCAAGAAATGTCAAATGCCATTCTAATACTAAGTATTAAATTTAAAGATTAATAGCGTAATAAAGAAAAAATTCAAGGACTAAATAACATCACATGAGTCAACAAAACCCAAGAACCAATACAAATGAGCTCCAATTCCAGTACATTAATCTAAGAATCAAGTCACAAAATTTGTGCGTTAATCTAAGAATCAAGTCACAAAATTTGTGCGTCAAGTCACAAAATTTTGTGACTTGATTCTTAGATTAATGTACTAGAATTGGAGCTCATTTGTATTGGTTCTTGGATTTTGTTGACTCATGTGATGTTATTTAGTCCTTGGATTTTTTTATTACGCTATTAGTCCTTAAATTTAATACTTAGTATTATAATGGCATTTGACATTTTGTTGGCCTTTTTTTATACAATTGTGGCCGAACACATGACTATCATATGGCCTTTTTTGGTAATAATTTGGAAAAAAATCGTCAAGGGTACTTAATGTGTTCAAAATTTGAAAATTCGGGTACCAAATTTGTTTTCGTCCAAAATTTGGGGACTAAAATTCGCTCGTGCGTCAAAGTTTAGGTACCAAAACTGCATTTTTGGCCTTTTTTAATTCCATTTTGGCCGGACACGTGACAGTCAAATGGCTTTTTCCGGTAACAATTTGGGAAAAAATCGTCAAGGGTACTTAATGTGCTCAAAATTTGAAAGTTCAGGTACCAAATTTGTTTTCGTCCAAAATTTGGGGACTAAAACTGCTTGTGCGCCAAAGTTTAGGTACCAAAACTGCATTTTTCTCTTAAAAAAAAAAGTTTCAAGCTCGCATTTGTCTAATGCTTAATCAACCTGATTTTAGAAACAACTCCACAAATAGCCTCTATGTAGAAACACTTTTTTTTCCATAATTTAGGAACTTATTTCAAAAACCAGTGCCTCTTATGTGGCCATGGTAGTTGTTCAGCATGCTTATGGTGGATCAAATATGTTGATGAAAATCGCCCTGGACAAGGGGCTTAACCAACATGCTTTTTGTGTGTGACGCATGTAATTGCGATGCTTGTTTTGGGACCTTTTGCTTATATGCTAGAATGGTAAGGCAGGTGATAAATATGTGTATTTGTAATTATGTTGGTGTATTTGGTAAGATGACCGACAGAGCCCGACATTAACTGTAGCTGCCGCTGGAAGACAGGAAAAAGCGACCAAGACCATCCCTCTCTTTTGTGGCGGTGATGAAGATGTTCATGCTCTCTTCAATCGGAACAACCATCCATCTTGACATTTACTATGTGAGTTTGGGGTACCTTCACCAACTGTTGCCAGTACTTTGAGTAATGTCATCTCCGGTTTGACGTTCGTCATCTCTGTGTTTATGAGATACCGTAACATTACATTACATTACTACTAGCTAGTAATAGTGTTGATAAATCACTACCAGCCAGAGCCAGTATGTACGTGCGTACTGCTATGTAATCGTATGATGTTGTTCAGTCAAGTGATGGAACAAACATATGCAAATTAATGATCCTACTCCGTCTAGTTGCCATTCTGCAGAATTGAGAGAGTGAACTTTTCAACTGCTAGTAGGAAAGCAAAGGTGTTGGGTACAATAGCTTGTGTCGCTGGAACCCTTATCTTCACCCTTTGGAAAGGAAGGCCCTTATTCCGGGGCTTTTTACGGCGTCCTCTGATTGAAATCTACGGTCCTTCAAAGACGGTCATGGTACGGAGGATTGGATAAAAGGTTCTCTTCTCATCGTAATCACTATGTCACGTGGAGTGCTTGGCTCATTCTCGAGATGATTAATTTTTCAACAATTAGAAACTGCACGAAACGCAAGACTAACTACAAGTATGGTCGACTTCTCTCCCAAATCCCAATTCCCATTACTACAACTTAATTGCTATAGGAAGTAGCATATCAGATCTATCCAGCTCGACTCACCCTCCATGTCTTGATTTGCTTTTGCGCATCATTACAATCTTCTTTTCTCGCACTCTTTTGGGGAAGAAATCCAAGAACGTGCAAGCTGCATTGGAACGCCCAACTCGTGGCAATATTGTATTGTGTGAGTGCTCAATTTCCTCTGCTACTGCTCATGAGCAATTGCATTCGATTCTGCAATCAAGCCTATCATCAATCATTTGCTTGCCTTTTTATTTCTTTCTTTCTTTTTTGCATGCATAAATTTCCGGACGTTAGTTTTTTTTTTCGGGTGCATTCTAACTTCTCACTCAACGAGTATTGTTTATTGTGCTACTTGGGGGGTTGTGATATCAGCCCTAGCATACTATCTACAGACATGGTGAATCAGTAACATGGGACCAGTTTTTGCAGCAATGTTCAGCCCCCTTCTTCTTCTTGTAGTGGGAATATTTTCGGCAATTGTTTTCACAGAGCAATTTCACTTGGGAAGGTATGTGAAACTAGCTGAACCAAAACTTTTGCGACAGTCTGAACTACTCTGATGCATATCTTGCGCTTTCGAACATACAACATTTCGATTAGCCGAGCAGAAGTGTGCATGGCTTGTATAACAAATCATCAAGCTCTCAATTGTCAAGTAATTATACCTTTAATTATAGTATGTGCTTCACGGGAGGTGGCACTATAATTTCATCTGCTTTACTATGATTATCTATCAAATAAAAAGTTATTTTCTGTGTCAATCCTTAAATATCCTGCACTAAGTTATGGTTTCTCCTGCCTAGCTAGCTTGATTGGTGCACCTATAATCATGGTTCAAAGTTGTGGTCGCTATTCAGACCATTCCATATCGGTCTCAGCATTCAATCACGGTTTCGGCTAAACTTAAATTTTGAAATATTTAATATTCTATAACTTGCCTCAGCATACCTTTTTTTTTTTTTCTTTTTTCTGTTAGTTTTTGGTTGGATTCGAGTTGACTCAGAGCAAATCAACCGTTTCTATTCTTCCGAACATACAACATTTTGATTAGCCGAGCAGAAGTGTGCATGGCTTGCAAAACAAATCATCAAGCTCTCAATTGTCAAGTAATTATACCTCTTATTATAGTATGTGCTTCATGGGAGGTGGCACTATAATTTCATATGCTTTACTATGATTATCTATCAAATAAAAAGTTATTTTCTGTGTCAATCCTAAATCTCCTGCACTAATTTTATGGTTTCTCCTGCCTAGCTAGCTTGATTGGTGCAGTTATAATCATGGTTCAAAGTTGTGGTCGCTACTCAGATCGTTTCATATCGGTTTCGGTATTCAATCATGGTTTCGGCTAGATGTAAATTTTGAAACATTTAATATTCTATAACTTGTCTCGGCATACCTTTTTTTTTTCCTTTTTTTTTGTTAGTTTTTGGTTGGATTCGAGTTGACTCAAAACTACTCGGCCGTTTCTATTCGTGTCGGAGACATCTCGACCGAGATCTTGGCGATCCATATATCTCGAAGTCATCTCATCTTGGTATCAAAAATGGAGAGCTTTGTTCCGATGATAACTCGGCCGAGTCTTTGGACCATGCTTATAATCCTTATTGGCTTATGCTGGGTACTTCGGTGAAAAAGGAAAGACAGTTTTCTAGATTCTATTGAAGTGGAAGTGGAAGTGGAAGAACCATACAAAAGCAGAAAGGGCTGTAATGATGACAAGGTGGCCAGACGAGGGGCAGGAGCGATCATAAGAAGGATCACTTCTGAGCTATTCACGATCAAGATTTGGTCCAAAAAAATTTTACGCTCCAGATCACTTTTTATATCTTTTTTTTTAATGTGTGTGGGGTCCATAAAAATTTGTTCTAAAGTTACACATTGTACAAACAAAATTACGCAGAATATAAACAAAGTTACGCGATGCGCAAAATGCACAAAACTGCTAGGAACGGCCCGTGGTCCCAAGGTGACCGCAGATACATCAGCTGATCCGTAGAAGCAAACAGCATATCTACATTAGCCTTGCTGGATTTCCAGTCCATCAGTAATACTACCCGGATTCGTGTTTATCTGATGATGTCTTACACCAGCAAACTTGGAGGCCGGGGTAGACAATGTCTTACAGCACAAAGGGATACCTCATTCTTAATATCCTTACAAGAGCCTCATGAGTTTTACCTTTTTTTTTTAATTGGGTATTTTTCTCTCACAAATCAATTTCTTATTAATTTTTACTCCTTCTATATTCACTGGGGAAAGGGATAGAGTCAAAGGGATCATTGGAAAATCTAGAGTGGATTTAATTACCTTTAGGCCAGAAGGTTTGGAATTAACCAACAACAAGTGAGGGGATTCGATGCAACCGAACAAGGAACTTCTGGAATTATCTTAAATAGTGCTCTACTGCGGCTAGTGGGGATAAGAATAAGATATGCACAAAACGCAACAGTTTTATTCATCATCTCACAAACAAAATAAAAAAAAGAGCAAGATTATTGTTTCGTTGAAGTGACGGCAAGCTTAAAAGCAGAGGCATTAGCTCGCGTCTCTAATTCAACCACCACATCGATCACATATAGGACAAACCAGCAAAGCATAACAGTACAGAGATTTTAAGTCTACAATTTTACACACCACAACAGACCAAGGGGCGCAAGAGTCGTCGAAGTCCACAGCTTCCTTATCCTACGCCTTTATTCTTACGTAAAAGCAGTTGACTTTTAATGTCATCAACAGGAATACTTTATATGATGATAATAATTCAACAAGGTAGAAATTAGGAGGCCTAGCTGGCTAGGCCGGTCGGTTCTTTCCAGAAACGTTTTAGCGACGGAAACTCCGGACCGGCCTTGGAGTCT